GCAGGGGCGGCAGTCGAACCCCGTGGGCGATCGACCGCGGCAGATCCCCCCCCCACGGAAAAAAGCAAAACACAAACACACACACACACACACACACACACAAAGCAACACAACAAAATACACAGCAAAACACACAACGCAACAAAAAATATTGGACGGAACAGAAACACACACACACACGCACACACACAGACACACGCACACACACACACACAAAGCACAACAACCACACACACGCGCGCACAAACATGACGAGAGTATGGCTCTGGTTTTGCACACCTAAGTGGTGGCCCTTGTCCTCCCTCGTCATCCTGTTGTATCTCGTCCCTATGCCATTGCGTCCTCCTCCTCGTCTTGTCCCGCTCATGGCCGTCTTTGCCTTGCCGGCCTGTGTCTCCCCCTTCTTGTGTGAGATATGGCGGACTTGAAGAGCAAGCCTGTGGCGTCAGTGAATGAGTGCGAACAAAATGCAGCATGCCGATTTAGGCAGAGGGCGAACTAGTTATGCATGGTGGGCGCAGCTATAAAAGAACAGGCAAACAAAGCGAACATGATGCAGTTGAGAACATGTCTCCGACATGTTAACTACATTTTAAGTTCAATGATAGGATTGTTAGAGTGTCCATTGCCATGGCATCCACAATCATAGAGTATGGGCCCGCCAGGCCGCGTGGTGTAGTGGGGAAGTGCAACACCAGTACCTTCATAATCACTGCCCAAGGAGGATACCGAATGAGGAGAGGTCGAAATACGTATGCATTTTGACAGACAAAAAAAGATAAACGACGCAAGGACAGTAACATAGCGATCTAAGGGCGAGATGCTGCTGCGTAAAAGAGCGCGGCCACACCCTGAGTCCCAGGGCGCCTGAAAGCTGTTGCTTCTACACCTCGCCCATCCCCAGTATAGAGTCAGGTTGTGTCAGAGGCGAGGCTTACAGCTGTAACAAGAGTGCGCAAGTTGTGGCAGTTCTTGGGTTGCCGCCCCGGGTTTTTTGTTCACCCCGAACCTCCATGGTCCGAGGAACCCCGTGTTTTTTGTTTTTCTTCACGGTTTAAACACGAGGCCTTGGTAGCAGCTGATGTGTGGCCTTGCATGCTTAGGCTGGCCATTCTTCCTCCTCCTCCTTGTCGCAATGCCCCCCCGGCAGCATGTTCTCGATCAGAGCCCTGCCGCCGGCGCCAATTTATTGATAGAATTCTATACGCTTCGCGTAATCCCCCTTTTTGTTCTTGTCCTCTTTCGCCCCTCTTTACCTAACAGCTTGTTCTGATAGGTTTCTAGTAGGGTCAAGAGAGAGCAGCAGATGACTCCACAGGGGGGTCTGGGCGGGTGCCGGACAGGGTGCCGCAGAAGTCGTTTTAAGCCAACAGTCACACACTTCGTGCTCTTCGACCTCCCAGAACTCCATTCCCGGGCCACATTCTGAATGCCTGGGCCAACTGTAGGCCACTTTCTGTGGTCTTCGAAATTCCCAGAACTCCATTCCCGGGCCCATTTTGAATTGCCCGGAGCCAACTTAGGCCACTTCGTGGTCTTCGAGTCCCCAGGCCCATTCCCGGCACATTTTGAATGCCGGAGCAATTGTAAACCCTTCGTGCTCTTCGAGTTTCAAACTCCTTTCCCTGGCCAGATTTTTGAATGCCCAGAGCCACTGTAGGCCACTTCGTGGTCTTCGAGTTCCCAGAATTCTCATTCCTGGGCCAGATGTTTTGAGATGCCCGGGGGGGCCCTGCAGGCCACTTCGTGTTATTCGAGTTCCCAGAACTCAGTCCCGGGCCACATTTTGAGGCTGAGGCAGGCTGAGGCTGAGGCTGAGGCAGTCTGAGGCTGAGGCAGGCTGAGGCTGAGGCTGAGGCTGATGCAGGCTGAGGCTGAGGCAGGCTGAGGCCGAGGCTGAAGGCAGACTGAGGCTGAGGCTGAAGCAGGCTGAGGCTGAGGCTGAGGCAGGCTGAGGCTGAGGCAGGCTGAGGCTGAGGCTGAGGCAGGCTGAGGCTGAGGCTGTGTCTGTGACTGCCGTTGCCACTGCGACTGTCATCACGAATGCGACTACGACTGCGAGAACAGCACAATTCTACAACTGGATTCTCATCTGAATCTTAAGGGGAATGCTTCCAGATATGCTCCTACACATCGCTGTTAGGTTGCTTTGCCGGGATATTTTTCTTTTGCGCTAATTTAGGCCGTTGCTTGTTCGCAGTGCCCTGAAGCCGCCCGCCCTGTTCCTCGCCGCGGTCTCGATCAAAAACCCCCACCAGCCCATCCAGAAACGATGCCCAGAGGAATTGCCTCGATCAGGGAAGTGGGCAGTACACAGAGGAAGGGTCTCAATGGAGGCCTCCTGGAGCGTCTTGGGGGCCTCTTGGCGGTCCCGGACGCCTCTGAGAGCGTCTTGGGTGCTTCGCAAAGCTTCTTGGGGCCTCTTGGGGGTCTCTCGGGAGCCTCTCGGAGGCCTCTTGGGCGCCTGTTGAGCGCTCTTCGAGCCCTCTTGCGTTATATTGGAGCCATCTTGAGGCCTCGGATGGCCATCGGAAGCGAAAAGGCGAGAAAGCCAACAACATTG